CCCCCCCCTCGCTACCCCCTCAGGAGCGGCAGAGGGGATGAGGTCTCCCCTCAGCTCCTCTTCGCAGGCCAGGGCAGCAGGGGCCTCCCTTGGAGCAGCCGCATTTCGTCAGTCTCCCTGCAACAGCCTTTCTTTTTCCAGCAGTTCATGCTTTTTATTTCCTTCTGTATTTATCAGATAAGAGCTGATGCTTTGTCATGAAGAGGGGGAAAATCCTATTGGGCTTTCTAAGCAAATTTGTCCAAGTGTGCTTCCCCAGAGCCGTGCGGCTGGACCGCACCAGGTTGCTGTTTGCTTTCCATGCGCTCCCGCTGCGGGAGGTGAGACCTCAGCGTGGAGCAGAGCAGCCTTGGCCTTTGCTGGGGCTGTGTTAGTGCAGGCAGAGGAGGGGAATGTTTGGGGATTTCACGTTCAGGTTTTGGGGGCTGTAGAAGAGAAGCTTCTCGTGGGTGTGACTGGGTTGTACCTGCTTCTAGGAGAGAACTTGGGCATTGCAGGAAAAGCAAGAAAATAAAGACCAGGCTGTTCTTTGTGTTTCTTTTTGAAAGCATGTGAGAGGAGAACGATCCTCGCCAGGACGGTTTTCCTGCCTCTTTCAGGGTGCTCCAGGCCCATTTGTGCACATGTGCCCCGACTTGCCCCTGGCCTTTTGGGAGCCTCTCTGGCTCGCCCCCGGCGGAGCTGTCTGAGCATCGGTTTGCTTGGGATTTCCCTTCAAAGCATCACTCATCGTCCAAATCCTGCTTTGTGCTCTTTGGCTACATAGGTGATCGTGTTCCTCCCCGAAACGCGTTAACAATCGCTTTCGTGATGTTGATTTGACAGGAACAGCTCTTCACTTACCTGTGCCTCATCCCTTCCTGCGTGAGATTTGTCTTTGCTGGCAGTGCGTGTTTGTGGTTCTGACTCGTGGATGCCTGAAGGTTGGCCAAGGAATTCTGCTCAGCTGGGTCTCTGGGTTGTTGTAGTCGATGCTTTCACCTGCAGAGAAGCCCAGGAAAACCTCTCAGCTTTATCACTGTGCTAGTTCAGCGCAGCAGCAGCGCTCTGGGGGTTTGGTGGGGATCAGGGGCTCCTCATGGCAATGTTCTGGAACTTCATTTCAGCGAATGAACAACCTGGGCGAGAGAGAGCGAGCAGTGCACGTGGATAATAGAAATTAATTTCTATTGAGCAGTTATTCACATTGAAATTAATTGTTTATTGCCATAATATTTGGGAGTAAATGAAAGAAGTACCTGGGGGTGGTCGACGTCCCTGGGACCCCCTCTTGGCAGTTGCTGGACTGAAGAGGCCGTTGTTCACCCGTTTGCCAGGCGGTCTGTGTTGTGTTGTGCTGCTGACCAGAGGTTCCAGTTCGGGCTCCTGGTCCTTAGCTCACCTGACGCCTGGGAGAGCATTTCTGCTGGGTTATTTTTCCTGGCCGTTGCCAGGTCCTTGGAAGGACTGATCCAGTCTGGCAGTTGTGGGTTTGCGTTCACTGGCAGGGCACTGAGCACTGGTGCTCGTGCAGAAGCACTGGATCCTGCAAAGGCACCCGTGCTGGAAGCAGCGGTTCCCTCCTTGCTGCGTTGCTGTCTCTGCTGTAACCCTGCTCCCTGAACCTGTTCTCTCTTGTTCTAGGCTGCAAGCACGTGAAAGGCATTCTCTTGTACGGGCCTCCAGGCTGTGGTAAAACACTCATGGCGAGACAGATCGGCAAGATGCTGAATGCCAGAGAACCAAAGGTGGTCAACGGGCCAGAAATCCTCAATAAATACGTGGGCGAGTCCGAGGCCAACATCCGCAAGCTGTTTGCTGATGCAGAAGAAGAGCAGAGGAGGGTAATGCAAGCCTAGATCAATAGCGTGGTCAGTATGAGCGTGCCTGAGGAGTGACCGGAAACTTTGTGATCAGAGCCAGGGGTTTGTAATCAGAAAATTACTGTGTGCGTTAAAAGCTGAGTCGCTGCTCAGCTTGTGATTCCAGTTATTCCTCGCAAGTCGCTGAACATCCGTTAAAAACGTGACCTTGGAGCCTGCAGAGGCGGCTGGGCCCTGGCTGGCTGTGCTGGGATGGAGTTTCTTTAATTCCACGCAGTTGTTTTAAAGTAATACAGCAGGGCCCATCCTGCTGTGCTTTGTGTTGTGTGGCGTGTCCCCGCTCGGAAAGGGCTCGGGAGCAGAACCACAAACATTTTGCTCTGTTTATTCTTTATCTTTTGTTTTAATGACATAATGAATGTGCTTGGATTTTGCTACTAAGTACAGGTGGCACGTAACAGGATGGATTTCAAGCAAGCTTTCACAGTTTCAGGTTTTTGGGTTACAGGTTTATTAATTATAAGTATATTATAATCCTTGAAGTGTTATAATGGAGACGTCATTATTTTTTCTCAGCAGAAAGCTAATGGATGAGAATAAAGTCTCAACACTAGAGGGTACAGATCTTTGAATCTGGAGGTGGAGATAAAGATTCTGGTTTTCCCAGACTTGTTTTTTGTGCCTGGCTTTAGCTGGCTGTCACAGGCTCAGTCTTCACTTTGAAGATGTAAATGCTTATTTCACGTGTGCTATGGGAATTTTTCTCTGCTGTGCATCACTTCATCGTGGTAAGGTTTTCTGGTGAAGAAAATGCAATTTCAGGCAAGACACAGTTAAGAATAGGGAAGTCTTTTCAGAAGACACTGGTGAAGGACATTATATCCCTTAATGTCATTTACGCCCAGCAACGCTGCAGATTTTGCTGGTGCATTTAAATAATTTAATTTTCTTCTGCAAAAGATGCATTAATCACTAAGTCGGCTCTGCACGGTAACCCATACAGCTGTAAACAGTCTCCTCTCTCTGGTCGGTGCAGTGTGGCTGAGAGCTGGTCCTCTGCAATAGCACACCTGTTAAAACAGACTGTGTTGGCTGGAGGGGACGTCCTGATGACAAGTGGTGAGATTAGAAAGGTCCTGAAAAGGTTGGTATTGTAATACTGGTGTCTGGGGCAGGCTGCCAGCGACAGCACATTCACCCGGTGTCAACGTGGGCTCTGCTGTCCACAAAAGACGTTTTGGAGGTGGAATCTGAAGGGAAGAAGCTTCATTACATGGCCACAAAAAGTATCCTGTTCTCTTCCCAGCTGTGACTGCCTCACCTTTGAGTGACCCTGGAAATGAGTGGTTCAGTTCCTGATTGGCACCGCACAAACGAGCTCCTTAAAAACATCAGTAACAAAGCTACCCTGGCAGGCTGTGTCTGTATGGACTTCAGCACCACCCGGGGCATTTCCCACCGCGGGTGCATCCCTCTGCAGCTCTGCTCTCCCTCTGGGTTTCGGAGGGCTTTCCCAAACACTGCACACCGTGACCCTTTGAGCCCCGTGTTCCAGCTTTGGGCTTGTGCTCTCTTGTTCAGCCGTGCCCTGTTCCCCAAAACCCTGCCCCTCTTTACCAGCACCCGCTGTGGAGCCAGTGTCTGGACAAAGCCCACCGACCACCCCGTTTTGGAGGGTAGCACGGTGTGGTTCTGGAAAGGGGTCTGACACATCCGTAACGTGTGACGCTAAAACCCTTGGAGGTATCGGTATTGTGATCTCGATGAGCAGTTGCTGCTTTGTTTGGATGGCTTTCAGCGATGACTTGTGGCAT